GTTGATACAAAGTTGGTTTAAAGGTATATATGTCCACAAAAGGGAATAAACTGTCCTCCTGTGCATTTATATCAGTATAACTGTGTCCATAATATGAGTTACAGAGTATATATGTGTGTGTGTGTATACGTAAAATTCACCTATGTATAATGGACATAATTAAAACAGTTTGGCAGTCAACAGTTGAAACTTTTTAAAGTTTCTTTTTTTTGGCAAGCAAATTGAAATATTAATTTTGAAGTCATGGGCTTTGCATTTTGATGCATGCAAGTAATAGCCAGTGCAGAGTAAATTTCAGGAACCTCCTGCTTACCCAAGCCAATAGGGCTGGTTTTAGCAGTGTTTCAGTTCACAGTTACCTCTTCATCCAATGGCAAGCTGATCTCTAAAATACTCTGTGTGGGATAAGTGTGTGCACTTTCAGCAGTTATTAGGGAGTAAGTGGAACTTAACTAACCATTTCACGTGTTCTTTTCTCTATCCCAGTCCATAGTCCTCCATAGGATAGACATTGGTAAACAGGGCTGTTTCAGATAGGGCTCCGCTTTTCTTTGTTTTGAAATATATTTCTAAAGACTTACAGCAGAGTAATCCTCAGGGATTGGTCCGATCTCATTAGGGTGAAGGCTATCACAAATGAAAAGAGTTTCTTCCATTTGAGTTACAAAATACATTTATACATTGACAGCTGTGACCACACAGAACAAAGATGGGAAGAGAGTAAGAAATTACCTGCTTTATACTGTCAAAATCTGGTTAAAGCAGTGTCACTGCTGTCCTCTGAAGACAAAAAGAGGGAAACTGGGATGTATCTGAGAGTGCTGGGAGAAACCTGAAGTCTTTGAAAGACCTTACAGACTGGAGAGGTTCTTGAGAACTAGGGAGAGGCAAATGTTGAGTTTATCTTCATTAAAAGCCAGAAGAATAATTTGGAGAATTACAAGCCAATCAGCCTCTTCAATCCCTTTGAAAATCAGGAACTGAGTCTTCTTGACGTACGTTTCTGTGCACATGAGGGAGAATAAAGTGACTGGAACCTGTCAGCATGGATTTACCAAGAGACTGACCAACTTGATTGCCTTCTGTAAGAAAAAAAGTCTGAATTTGTACATGATGAGAAATCACTAGATGCTACTTTATAAACATTTATAGCAAGGTTTTTCATGCTGTCTCTGACAATAAATTTGTGTCTAAGTAAGGTTGTTATGATCTGGATAGATGGATGGACAGACAGACAACTGGCTGGGGGGAAAAAAAACACTGGTTATGTGGTCAGACTCGAAGAGTAGCGTTCATGATCATGAGCCAGCAGTGTGGCGTGACAGCAAAGCAAACAAACAGCATCCTGGGTTGTATGAAAAGAAGAATTGCTGGTAGATAAAGGCAAGTGATTGTCATCCTTTACTTCACATTTGTTAGACCATATCTAAAATACTCTATCGAGTTTTGGATATTCCTAGTACTGGGAAGTCATTGACAAACTGAAGTGAGTTCAAGGGAGCCTGCTGAAATTACTGGGGCTGAAGCATTTGTCTTGTGAGGACTGGGGAAAACTGGGCTTGTTCAGGTTGGAGAAGAACTGGCTTTTGGAGGACCTAAAAGCCGCAAAGGCTTTGCAGGACTGCAAAGATGTTGTCTAGAAAATGGAATGAAGTTCTTTACTGAGGTAAAATGACAAGACAAGAGAAGCTGTTCACAAAACAGCACAGGAATTTCTGTTCTGAGGGAAAGAAAAACTTCCATACAGTCAAGCACTGGAACCAGTTGTCCAGACAGGTTGTGCAGTTTCCATCTATCCTTAGAAGTTTTCAAGACCCAGGTGGAGAATGGGGAGAGGAACAATCTGGTATGATGCTGTAGCTCACGGAACTGTGAGAAAGCTCTTGGACTATAGACTTCCTGAGGTCCTATCTGACCTAAGTTATTCTATGATTCAGTGGCTCCAGATCCCTGGTTTTGGATGAGGTAATGGAGAAGATTGTTGAGAATATGGTGTTTTGTGTACTTGGTAGGAGACTTGACAAGGTAAAGTGACTCAAATGAGAGATGGTGTAGAAGAGAGGAAGGGGCAGAGGAACACTTTGTGTGTTTTGTGGAACTGGCATTTATTCCCCTAGAATTGCACCTTTTGCCTTAAAAACATCCAAGAAGCATGTGCTTTTCATAGCTCGGACTAAAGACAGCTGTAATTGCAAATCTGGTTTATGCAAAACAATAATCTGTGCTGTTCAGGTTCAGAATTTCATTTTTCTTTTTTTTTCCCCTCCCAGTTAGGATGTCTTTGATGCCCTGACTTCTTTCCTTAAACTGTATTGCAAGGAACAGGATCTGCAGCAGACTCCTACAAGTCATGACATTCTTGAGAATCCATTTGACCCCATTTCCTTCCTCCAGTGAATGCTGTGCCAGGGAACAGTGCGGGACAAGGGGGTACCATGCTTGCCGTATTGTAAAGCAGAATACAGTGTTGTGATTTGTTGCAGGAATACATCTCGTATCTTAGGCATGCAAGGGGGAGTTGGTAAGCAAGTGCAAGTTGGGGTCAGGGAGGCAGTTTTATTGCCCTTTCTGCATCAATATTCAGTCATCTGATGAAGGTTGTGGAGAGTTTGTGTGCAGCTGTAGTATGTTCTTTCTCTGTGCTGTCCTCAGTATTTTTGTGAAAGTAAGATAATTGTTAAGGCTATTTTGTATGACCACACTTACCTAACACAACATGGACATGTGATCACCCGCTTCATCAGGGTAGCTGATCACAGTAGAGCAAAACTTGAATAAAATTTTATATCGTACCTTGCATTTTCCGACTGTATTAGCCAGTAAACTCCAGTTGAATATCTAATTGGAATTTGGTGATGCTAATAGAAAAAAAGGTAAAATTTCTGACTTCAGGCACTTTTTATTAGGGTTTGTGTACACTAAGGGAATGCCTGTGTCTTAAGAAAAAAATTAAAATGTGTGAATGATTAAAATTATTTGAGTAGAAGCTGGTTTATACTGTGGTATTTTACAGATGTATTTTAGAGCCTGAACTGTATCTTGCCAGGTGTTTTTTTGTTTGGTTTGGTTTGGTTTTTTTAAGGAATAAATATTTTATTAATTTTTTTCTAATAGCTTATTGGGCTACAGGTATTTGTATAAATTGAAGGCATGCTGGGTTAAATATTTATTGTAGAGGAGGTTTTCAATTGACTTTCTGTGCTCAAATCACTCTGTGATTCTTAGAAAACTTTTACATGTCCTTATGTGCAGAGCAACTCTGGCTGTCTGCAAATGCATGCAAGCAAGTAAACACACGAGGCTTGTTAAAGTGAAAGGCTTAAAGTGCTTGTTCTGTATTTCTGTTTTAAGTCTGGTGGGAATGCTGTAAACTTCTACTGAGAGCTTATGTGGCATTAGGGAAGTAATTTGGTTAAGTGTTTGAATTATTGCTTGGCAAAGTAGAGTTATTGTAGCTCTGTGAATTCAATTGTAAATGTAATTAGCACTTCTTTGTAGCTTTCTAAAAATGTTATCTTAATGAAAACTAACAGATGTTACATGTCATACAAGGGACACTTAAGATCCTTGCAAGGTGGAAACCATCAGTGTTTCCATAATGTCCAGTGTCTGTTTTCATTTAAAGTGAGATGTCTGGAAAACATGTGGTTGCAGAGATATATCTTTTATCTTTCCCTTTTTCATAATGGGAAAAAAAGTGCATGATGCTTTTTGTTACAGAGAAAATGATCTTAAGTTCATTCTGTCTTCCTAAGTTTTTGGATTGTTCGAAACAGTGGAAATAAGGTGAATTGTGCAAAATTTTTTTTCTGCTAGACTTGTAAAGTCTGAGTTTTGGTGAACTTGCCAGGTTGAATGACTTGGTTTACATACACTTGGTTTTCCATTAGCAACTAACTCATTATACCTCATGATAGTCTCATAGTGCCCACAATACCTTGATTACCTGCCATTTCACCAGCCTGTCCTCATTTCTCCATTTCACCCTCTTCTTCAAAATAAAAAATTAATAACCCTGAGTTACTCTGACCTATAAAAAGATGTCATTAAGTACTGGTAATTGTGGCGTTTGCTTAGCAGTGCTGTGGCTAAATAAAAACTTCACATTTTAATGGTAGTGCTTGCCCCTTTCCTTTAACAGCTTGATGTGTTTGGATTTTTGAAGCAGGATCTATGATCTTATTATTTCACTGTCACAGAGAATAACTGATATTTTAAAGAACAAACCATATTGAAAGAATTGTCCTTAAATTAATCAGTCTTGGGACCATGCCTGTGAACTATGTACCAAAAAACCTAATACACTTTCACATTGTGTGCTACTGTTAATTTATATCAATATAATGAGTACAGGACTCTGAGCTCTCCTAGAACTCATGGTTTTTAAAGCTGAGTTAATGTTCATAAATAAAAGAGTAAAGAGTGAAAAAAAATAATTTGAAATAAATGAAAGACGGACGTGTTCGTATTCTTACATTTTGTATGTATGCTGCTATCATGTGCATGGCGAATGCATAAGGTTATTAGGCACTGAACTTGGGTGCAATAGCAGTTTGTCATCTAACCCCCTTACTTTCCTTAGGAAGATTCACACTCTTAAGATTAAGGCCCAGTTCTGTCTTGCTTGCTTTCAGTTTACCAAACTCAACCTTTCTGAAAGGAATCTGATCAAAACTGTGCATGTGGATTTCCACTTTAGTCTGTGGTGGGATAATGATGCTTTGAAGTCCTGATTTCATCATTTGCCTTAAGGATGAAATGCTTGCTAGAAGTGCCTTGTCTTCCCCTCTGCACCGGATCTCAAAATTCCTGTCATTCACCATGTGAAGCAGAAAGACAAATTTCCCAATAGGAAAGCAGTAGTATGACTATATACTCGCTACTACCACTGTCTAACACGGATTTTTTTTTTTTGTTTGTTTTTTGTTTGTTTGTTTGTTTTTGTTTTGTTTGGGGTTTTTTGTGTGTTTTGTTGTGGGTTTTTTTATTTTTAAATAAAGGTCCATGAAGGATTCTTGGAAACTAAGATTACTCCCGTGAATGTTAGTGCCACTAGCAGTTGGTCTGAGAAGAGGAATATTGATTTACGAATATACATGCTGTGTTTCCTGCCGTTCCTGGTCCTCCTGGTCTTTATTCGTGACCTTAAGAGCCTGTCCTTGCTTTCATTGCTTGCCAATCTGTCCATGGCTGTCAGCCTGGTGATCATTTACCAGTATATTGTTAGAGTGAGTATAAAAAGTTTATTATCTGTTTTTTGCAGTGTAGCAAGTTGTGTTTGTTACATGTGGCAGTTGGTCTCTGATAGATATATACTGACTGACAGTTTCTGAAAGGCAGCATTATCTTGTATTTAATTGAGGCATCTTAATTTAAGGAGGTGCCTCGAAATCTGTGATATGCTCTAAATACAGACTTTTACAGTGCTTTTGAAAGAAAGAATAATATTGCTGCATTTAAGATAATAAAAATATATATTTTGGTGAGTGGGAAGTAGAAAATGGGGAGGAAGGCAATAAGAGATATTGGCGAGGAGGCAGGAGAAGTTATGTAGAAAAAATTGGGGAAGATAGTAATTAATTATTCTGGAGGAACTCAGCTTGTAATAAAGATATTTTCTTTTAGTGAAGAATATCTGTGCAGTATGAAAGCAGATTAGAAAATGCAATATACTGAGAAGTTTGCAGAAGATCAAGCTTTATATGTGCACTTTCCTGTGTGCTTTAATTGATGCTCCCTCAGTGTGATACTTTAAATGTGAAATTTTTTCATGACGATAATAGAAACCTAGAATAAATATATCTGCAAGTGTCTATGTAGGAAGGTGGCTATAAATGTGTGTAAAGGACTAAGTTTGGGAGGAAAACCAGGGATTATAAATAGCAATGTCAACATTTACTGAGTTTTCTTTCCTCTAACATAATGCATCAATCAAAATTTTAGAGAGAACTAATGTACTTTACAGTGTTTTGCTTTGTTTTCTTCAGGATATAGTAGATCCTCGAAAACTGCCTCCAGTGGTCGGCTGGAAGAAATACCCACTGTTTTTTGGAACTGCAGTGTTTGCTTTTGAAGGAATTGGTGTGGTAAGTGCTTTTTACTGACTCTTCAAAATCACTGGTTCTATGCTAGATGATGGGATACAGGCAATTTTACTCCTGTTGTTATTTTGCTGTTTTTATTGAAGCACTAATCTCCCACATTGGTATGAAGAGGTTTAATTTGTCTGGTCAAAAAAGGCAAAAAGTTGAGAACACAACATCTCCATCACAGGGAGTTTGGTGGATACTGACTGCTACTTGGACACTTAGCCCTTTCCCAAATTACAAGAATGCCTTTAGTTCCAAATAAATTGAGACAATACTGTAATAATAACTGGTATCATATGTTCAATAGTAGTATAGAACTAAGTTAATAAAATGATTGTATTGTAATTACAGTGATTCGACAGCTCAGTTTTATGTGATGAGTGTGTAAAAATAGAAGTGCATTCAGCATTCTTCTTTTCCTTTAGGGTCAAAAAGGACTAAGTGATTTACTAGAAATGTATTATTCTTCCTGCTTCAGACTTGTCTATAGATCTGACTTGATAGAGATGAAGGTGATGAGGAAAAGGATAGAAATTTCTAAATATTTTTTTTGATTGATGACCTTCTGACAATGAACCTCAAGTTCTCATTGTTTCCTGAAATATGTCAGTTATATAGATTTATCACTTAGAAAATTGGGTTTTCAAAAGTTGTTCTTTTTCTGTCTCTTACTCAGTCAAACATCTCAAACTGGCAAAGTCTGCAGGTTAGTCAGCCATTTTTGTTCCCTACGATATATTTTAAAAAATAGCTAAAGAGACTTCAGGGAATGGTAGGTCATAATGTCTTTAAAGTGTTGGGAAATTACTCTATGTGCTTTGTTTGGTATATAATTACATACTTCAGCAAGTGTTACTGTATGCTTAAAACTGAAAAACAACCAACTGCTTCCTCCTCCCCCCCAAAGAAAAACCAAAAAAAAAACTCCACAAACTAAAGCAATCCCAAACCGGGATGCAATTAATCTGAAATGATTGTCTGTCATTTACATAACATAGGAGATTTTCAAGTCTGTTTTCTTTTCTCGAATTGTCAGCTCTGACTTAAACTAGATTATTTTACCTCGATGCTGTGTTATCAGTGGCAGAAGAGCTGGATAGGAAAACCTTTTAACTCCTATTGTGTTGCAAAAGAGTGTTTTCAAAGTGTTCTCGACTGTTTCTCAGGTGTGAACTGACAGATGCGGAGCTTTGGCTACCCTATATCTGACTGTGTCTGGATATCTTTCATTTTGTCATCCAGAACTTTCATCATAAGAAATCAACTGTTTGTCTGAGATTATTTGATGCCTACGGATCTTGGGTAACAAACCCCATGCTCAATGAAACAGACAGATTGGACTATGCAAGGTAGTTATATAGTCTGTCTGTGATCGACTTCACTTACTGTGTGTGTTATGAACAGTAGGTCTGATACATGTCCCAGTTGTATTTGATTTGCCTATGTGTTGCATAGCACACAGGTGTGTATTTGTAGCCAGGGAATCCCAAATGAGAGTCCTGTGAGCCTCAGGAAAGTGGGGAAGGCTTATCATTTGGTAGCAGTAGTTTACTGAATTATAGATAGGGAATTGATTTATGTTGATGATTTTCTAGCACATTAGATCGCACATTAGAGAGCTCCTTAAATTTACATCAGCAGCAGACTTCCAAAACTTCTGAAGAACTGCCCAGAGCATTTGCTTGATTGAATCCCTGATTGTTACTAATGACATCTTTAGAACTCCTGATTTTTTTATATCTTTTATTCAAGAGGATTCATTCTATTTGTACCTTTAAAGCACAAAAATACTCCTGTTTACAAACTAATTAAATGTTTATGTTCATTATGGTTTGATACACATTGTATGTGTGTGGTTACATTACACAGGACTGTTAAAAAAAACACAGCTACCTTTACAAATTAAAATTAGTGTAGAGTGAAGATCTAGAGCTTAATGTTTCTTCCTTATATGCAGAATGATATTAAGATGTCTCTGCTTCGCGGGGATATTTTGGACATGTGGAATATTTGTTGTGCATGCTTATGCTCTGCTTGCAGGCATCATAGAGAAGATTTGAAGAAAAATATTATTGTATGGGTTTGGATAATAGGAACTAAACAAAGTTGTTGAAGCATGAAATAAAAAAAGATGAGTGAAGTAAAGCAAGACAGACATTTCTTCTTTACATAATTAATATTTCATACAATTCTTGGTGATTGATTTAATTGATAAGTAGTTATTACAGCTCCCTAAGTTACCATCATAAACCTGTTGTATGTAGCTAATGTGTGACAACTTGTTACCCTGTGTCTTATTTATTGTCATTCCTATATATGTAGTTAAGTTGTTCTGGTAAGGAAAAAAAACCCCCGCCATTTAATTAGATGGGCTCCTTAGTCTACTTTCTCTGACTGCAGGCACTCAAAATGAATTTTTATGATCTTGGTTAGAGACCTGATTTTAGATTTTGTTCTGGAATATCTTGCAAATAACAGATATTACTGGGAAGCTGTGTGATCATGGCATTATGAACAGAAGCCTTAAGTCTTAATTTTATCAGAAGATGATTATGATTGATTAATTTTATGCAATAGGTTGGCCTGAAGCAGTTATGAGGTCTCATTTTCCCATTCCTTGATTCTGAACATGCGTTATGCTAATTCACATCTGAGAGCTACAAGATTATTGGATGTTATGAAAAGGGACAGTAAATGAAATTCTGAATTTTTTGAGCTGGTTGAGTCATCTAAAACAGAACCTGACAAGAGAGGAAAAGTTCCCTCAGTGTGGGTTTTTTACCGCCATTGTTATGTTTAAAATAGTCTTTCCTGCTAAGAGTATTTAATGATGAACAACTCAAGTAGAAGAATAAATGATCTATAAAGACACAGTACAAAGCAAGGCGCTTAAGCCATAGCGGTTGGGAAGATTTATTTTCAAAGATACATAATTGATTTTGGTTTTATTAGCAGAAGAGAGGGTAGTGTTGCCAGAAAGCAAGTGGCAGTCATAATGCATGTTCAGTGTGGAAACATGTCTGTCTGCTTTCTTTGAAGCAAATAACAGGGGAAGTACTCTAGCACAGATTATTTTTCCATCCCATTGTTCCAAAAAGCTTCTTGTATACTGATCTTTTTTCTTTTAGTTTAGCACTTGTCATCACTTCAAATATGACTGTAGTTCATTAGTAACTAATAAAATTAGTGAGACTAATAAAACAGAGGAGACTAAAGTCCTGTTCACTGTGGGGAACATGTTTTGGGAAGCTGCAGTGATTCAGCAGATTCGTAGTAAAGTTTTCTTCTTGATCTTGTGAGACTATATTTCTCTTATAGATGATGAGTGTATGAACATGGGTTTTGGTTAAACTTTGTCATTAGCTTAGGACTGATTAACTGTCCCTGTATAATAAGGAAATCAGCAGTATGGAAGCAATTTGGAATATTGTTGCTTTAGCTATTGTTGATCCCTAGATAAATAAACTTTAAGAACCTCAAGTTTACGGATTTGAGTCTGTAATAACTCAAAGGAGGAAAGGTAGACTATTTAAAATTGAAATATAGAATCTCAAAGAAACCAAGGCAGTGCCTAGAAACTAGTACTTGTGAAATACTAAAAGCTAGTTAAACATTTCATCAGCCAGTGTTATAAAACTATTTTGAGATATTTTTCATTAAAATAAAAGCAACTGATATAATGAATTGATGGTATTATGATGATGAATTGAGCTGTTCATGTCTGCCTGTGAGATCAGTTTAAACTCTTATTTGATGGCAGATTTGAACAATTTTGTCATTTTGCTAAAGTCCAAGCAAGTTGTTTGCTTGTTGCTACAACTGCTGGAATAAGGAATAAGGTTAGTGCTATCAAAGAGCTGATTAATGTTAATTCATGCTAAACTCTGAGTGATACTTGTAACAGGATTAAAGAATTCTACAGTCGGTTTTTTGTGCTATTTATTTCTTTGCTCCCTTTTTGAGTTGTCTGTAAAAATAGGGTCACTGCACATTGGTAAAAGGTTGCCGCTGCAAATTGTGAATGTCTTGGCAACTGGGTGGTAGTCATTACTGTGTGGAAAGAGGACAAATTGGCAGCAGGGGCACCCAGTGATCCCTTGATACTGAGTTAGCAAACAGCAGCTGAAAGCTCAGTACTGTCAGTCTGGTGGTTATCATTCACAGTGTTGAGAACTGTTTTGGAATTCCAACACTTTTAAGACTGTAAGATCATCAGAGTGACCTTGTGAAAATCATATGGACTTCTGACATCAGTTCAGTTTGTGGAACCGTAGTGGCAACAGAAATGCAGTACTCTAAAATGGACAACAAACTGCTTAAGATACTTGGGTTTTTTTAAACTTTTAAGTGAAGATTTTGATTCAGAAGGCAGTATGTTGATTAGGAGATGGAGAAAATGTATATTTAGCCCTGAGTGGACCTTTTTGAATGCAGGACTCTGCTGGGGATGAGAGGTTCTGTGGCTGCTTCTTTCCCTCTGTGCTTTTGCTTCTCTCTGACTGTGAGTTCTCTGTGCCAGATGATGCTGCCTGGCAGATCGTGGGGCTGGTGTTCAGGCCACAGAATAGAATACCAATGATACTTACTGAATACAGGAGCTGCAGGTGATGTAATGTAGTGAATGTGTCTTTCATGGAACGTGTAACATTATTTTGTAAGAACCATGTTAGAGTGCCTCTTTCATATTCCAAAGGTGAGTAGGCCTGGTTTTATAACAAATATGAGATTTTTGTTACTGAACTAAAAGTAACTTCAGACTGAGTGTGCCCTAAATGTAGTTAAGCCTCTTGAACACACTTTTTAGAAGTGTAAAACCAAAACATTCAGGCTTGAATCTGTCTGTAGCATTACCATGTGGGGGTAATAGCTTTGCATAATGTTGTGCTTATGTAATAGCAGTTACACTCAATAAATATTTTGCAGCAAAAGTCTGACTAGCTTTTTTGTCCTAGATTTAAAAAATCAAATCCAAATGTGGAAGTCATATTTTATACTAA